TCTCCCTGCGTGCCTATGAACTCCAGGAAGGCACAGTGTCCTTATTTGGATGTAAGGCCACAGTACTAACAACCAATAGGCATTTTAAAGAAGGCTCCTACCAGGTCTCTGAGGTGACAATCACTTTCCCTCGCTGTTGTGAACCCTTTATTTACATCACAGTGTTTCCAGGTTCTTCTGGAATAAGCCAGAGAGGGTAAGGGAGGAGGGAAGAGGAGAGAGAAGAGGAGCATTGGGTGAAGGCGGCAGGCACCTGCTCCGGCTTGATTTCTGGGGCTGGCAAACCGCAGCCTCACAGACAAGGTCTTGCTCTCCCCCCACTACTCCATCCCCCTCCCCGTCCCTAACACCCCTCCCCAACTTTCCCTCCCCCGTTTAGTTACCCAAGTGTGCAAGCCTGACTCTGTTGGGAGATCTAGGCATGCTTGTTTGGCTTTGAAGCCAGAAGAACACAAGTTATTATTCAAACACAAAGTAGTGGATGTTTATTTTGACTCTACAACGGATACAACAGGGAAGGCTTGTTTTTTTAGCCCTGGGGGTCTTGGAACTCACTCTGTAGACCAGACTGGCCGGTAACTCAGAGATCTGCCTGCCTCTGTCTCCTCAGTGCTGGGATTAAATGCGTATGCTAACATCCACAGGCTGCCTCCTGCTATGCTTGGTTTCTTTTTGGTTTTTGTTTGGTTGTTTGCTTGTTTGGTTTTTTTTGTCTGTTTTTGTTTGTTTTGAGACAGGCTTCTCTGTATAGCCCTGGCTGTCCTAAATCTTGCTCTGTAGACCTGGCTAGCCTTGAACTCAGAGATTCATCTGCCTCTGCCTCCAGAGTGCCGGGATTAAAGGCGTGCGCCACCACTGCCCACCAGGCTCCTGCTATCTTTAAGAGCTAAGTTGACTTTGTGTACGACCTGCTCCAGTCCGTGGGCGTCTGCACCAGGTAGGAGGGAGCAACATCTAGAAAAGATACCAGGGTACCAGTGACAGAAAAATAGGAACCATAATCAAACTGGTTTAAAATTCAGCCAAAGCAAAGCAGTAAAACTTATCATGTGTGACAAGGGTCAGAATCTGGAAAGCCATCCTAAGGCAGTGACTCCAAGCACAAGCAAGTTCGAGCCACATGGATGCTCTGGCAGCAGTCTTTCAGAGAGCACGGAAAACAACAGATGTCCCCCCAGAAAACTGACTCTGAGGGTACCCACTGTATCACTACCAGATGCAGGACTCAGGGGGCACCGGCTGCAACCATGCCTGGGGCTGCTTGTCATTGTCTTTCAGCCCTTTCAGGGCAGTGAGCCAGCTGCCAAGAAGGCTGAGATAGCCCAGAGGGACCAGTTCTAAGACAAGAATGGTTCAAGTCTCATACTTCCTGTTCAGATCAGAATGTACTTACTCTTGAGGCTACAGAGATGGCTCAGAGGGTAGGAGCTGCCAAGCCTGGTGACCTGAGTTCTGTTCCCTGGATCCACACAGTGGAAGCAGAAAATCATCTCCAGTAGTCTGTCCACCGATCTCCACATGTGTGCTGTGATATGTGCGTATGTATTGTGCATGTATGTACACTTACACACACACAGGGGGCGGGAGGGAGAAATGTGATTTTTTTTTTTTCAGAGCTGAGGACCGAACCCAGGGCCTTGCACTTGCTAGGCAAACTCTCTACCACTGAGCTAAGTCCCCACCCCCAAGAGATGTGATTTATATATTCCTTTCCATCCAAGGCTTCACATCCCCCAAGACATTGTCATATACACACACGGGCCTGCCTGGGTTTAAGAAGCTGTAAATCTTTTAAATTTTAATTTAATTTTTAAAAAACTTCACGCGTTTTTGCCTTCATGTACGTCTGTGTGATGGTGTTGGATCCTCTGGAACTGGAGTCACAGACTGTTGTGAACAGCCATGTGGGTGCTGGGTATTGAACCTGGGGACTCTGGAAGAACAATTGGTGCTCTTAACCACTGAGCCATCTCTCCAGCCTGAGAAGCTGTTTTTTTTTTTTTTTTTTGAGACAGGGTTTCTCTGTGTAGCCCTGGCTGTCCGGGAACTCACTCTGTAGACCAGGCTGGCCTCGAACTCAGAAATCCCCCTGCCTCTGCCTCCCAAGTGCTGGGATTAAAGGCATGCGCCACCACTACCCAGCAAGAAGCTGTTCATTTAAAGCCAAAAATTCTGAACGTGAAAAATAGATATGTCCTCCCCAAGCTACCTCAATCCAGGGAGACATAGTAGATGCTATATCTGGGCCAGTACAGTGAGGTCTCATAATTCTCACTGATTTCCATTTTTGTTAATTTGGCACATGTTGAAGTAGTTTAGTAAGAAATCTGATTAGGAAAGACAAGATGACAAGTGAGAAGCAGACACAGCGCTACCCTCCGGCTTGATTCTCTTTACAGAGGGTGACAGTTAATGAAGAGACGCATACTGGTTAAAGCGCAGATGATAAGTCACTGTTAGATGCTCTGTTCTAAATGGGACCGCTATGTTATCCCACCCAAAGCTCAGAGACTATCTCAGAAGGGGTGGCGGTGGAAAGGATGTGAGTGCCAGACAATGATGATGGCCGTGAAACACTGTCACCTAGACATAATATGGCCATCGTACCTGTGAACTCACCGCAGCAGTAGTGGCTGCACACACTAGACTGAGCCAATCAACACGGATCATGGATGGGGGAGGGGCTTCTGTGCCCCCCCCATCCTTCCCATGAAGCTACCAGGAGTTAATGGTGACTGAGGGGTGGCCATATTTCTTCCTCAGTGGTGGGGTCACCAGTAAGCTGACCCTTATGCCAGATTGGTTTTTCTCAAGGTGGCATAATCTTAGATAAAGTCAAACCTGGGAAACAGAAACCTCAATTGAGATTCGTGCCTCATCAGATTGCCTGTAGGTAAGATTGCGGGGGTGGGAGTGGGGTGGGAGTGGGGGTGGGAAATTGCCTTGGCTAATGGTTGGTGGAGAACCAAGTTCACTGTGGACCATGCAAGCTCTGGGCAGGTGGTCCGATCTTCCATGGCTTCTTCTTCATTGCTTCATCGGTAGTTTCTGTCTCCAGCTTCCTGCCTTGAGTTCCTGCCCAGGCTTCCCTCAGTGATGAACTGTTAACCCTTTCCTCCCCAAGTTGCTTTCGGTCATGGTGTTTTATCACAGCAATAGAAACTGCTCCGGGAAGTAATCTCAACACAACGCTCACATCAGCAACCCTAGTAGTTAAATGAAGTGGGTCACGAACACAAAGACATCCAAGTAGGATGGACGCTCGTTGAGAAGAGGGCCAGTGAGAGGGAGAGGAGGGGGACAGGAGTCGGTAATGGGAGTGTGACCAAAGTACAATATATAAATGTATATGACTGAAAGGCTGAGTTTCACAAAGTGATTAGAAGACCCTTCTTAGCCAGGCAGTGGTGGCGCACGCCTTTAATCCCAGCACTTGAGAGGCAGAGGCAGGTGGATCTCTGAGTTCGAGAGTTCGAGGCCAGCCTGGTCTACAGAGTAAGTTTCCAGGACAGCCAGGACTACACAGAGAAACCCTGTCTCGAAAAACCAAAAAAAAAAAAAAAAAAAAGAAGAAGACCCTTCTTGAGTTGCCAAGTCTCATGGTGACCACAAAACCAACCGAGGATCACAGTATCCTTGAGTGAGATTTCTCTTGAACCAATGCTGAGAACCCTGACTGTGGGAATGTGAAAGTTAGTGACAGATGCTCTGAACCGGATGGGCATCAGGTTGATCTGAGGCCAAGCACCAGGACTCAAATGACTAGAACCCCAGCATGGGCCCAAAGTAAAACTGTGAAAGGTAACCAAAGACAACACCTCGGCAGACTATGCTTGTCACCAGAGGCTCCAATGTGGCCTTGAGAACTGCTCTTGGCTGTTGCTGTCCACCACACCGTGCCTAGTGCTGAGAACCAGGACATTCGATGGCAGCTCCCTGTCCCTGAATGTCTGTGAGTGATGTGTTTGTTTCTCAACCAACATGGAACTCTAAACAGGTACAGTATCTCAGAGTTTGCTGTGGCCAGGAGAGGCTCTGCTCTTCTGGAGGGCACACAGGTAGGTAGCACATCCCCAGATCCCAGACACAAGGAAGCTGAGTGGGGGAGTTGAGTTGAGGCCAGGCTGGGCACAATTACAGTTAAAATCAGTGTAATGTACACATACTTTATTTTTTATTTAATGTAGCATTTAAAATCAGTGTAACACTTATCCCTAATTTTTTTTTTCTCCCTCTCTTTCCCCCTCCCCTCCCTCCACACACAGACTTTTTTAAAAAACAAAATCTCAATAGTTCAATTTTACCAATAGAGACTCAGGAGCCAGACGCTGAGGTGAAAGCCTGCTAGCTCTCAGAGGCAGAGAAAGCACCCCACTGACCTTCCTCCTCTGTCCCAGAAGCCATGCCCCTTTCCCACACCAACTCTAAAAACCTCTTTCAAACTGAATGTCCCTCCCTTTGACTTCCTGTATGTCTATCTAGCCTCCTGACTTCCTCTTACTCTCTATGGTTTACAGCTTTTCCCTGTAAATCTCAGGGTCCACGGTGTGATCAGATAATCCTGGAGCACACACGCTAATTTCTGTGTCATGTAGTAGTTTAAATCAGTGGAACGCCTTCTGCTGGTTCACTCGGGCTGTGGCTCAGATCTAGCAGCAACTACTACAGCCGACCAGTACAAGGCTGAGCGTGCCTGACTGCGCTTTGTTTCTCTCTTTTTACGGGAAGCCCTGGCTGGCTCTGGACTGGCAAGTAAAGACGGATGTGGTACATGGCCTTCCCTAAGTGTGTTCTGCAATAGACGACGTCCTTCTCGCCTTGTTAGGAATGATGTAGTTTAATGTCTCCAGGAGCTACAGATTCTAACTGGGAAGAATCCGTGAACACTTCACCGTGACCCCCTGAAAGATGCCACCCAATCCCATAGGCTATACAAGTAACCAGGGTGTCACTAATTCATTCTCCGGGGGATGCGAGAGGGAAATGACCACATACCGAGAGCTTTGTGACTCTGACTTTTATTCTCACAGGCAAGAATTCACGGGACCGACATGGGGGTCTGCCCTGAAACTGAGCTCAGTGCCGAGGTGACTCTCGTCCCGAAGACGGCTGTGGCAGCCTGAACTTGGAGAGTTCCATGTTCAGGTCTAGGAAGGTGTATGTGCTGTAGTCATGATGCTGCAGGTTCTTGTAGGTGGTAGTGTCGGTCGGCTCCGGCTCTGTAGAGAAAGGTGACAGGACAGCTGTCAGAGACATATGTCTGCTTGGGCGCTAAGGAAGCAGAAGTCTCCACACCACCGGTTAATAGCACGTGAGCACTCTAACTAGAAGACAGGGGACCTTGAGAGCCCTGTATCTTCAAGAGCAGTGTAAAAGAGTCACCTGAAAATTTATGCTGAAGCTTATGGTCCGTCTTACCAGCTGAGTACAATTACAAAGCACGTGGCGGCATTGCTGTCGCCATAAAAACTCTAACCCGGCCACAGAAACCTTCCCCAAGATAGTGGCACAAGCCTGCCAGGAGACACATGACTCTGGTTTTTTTGTTGTTGTTGTTGTTGTTAATAAAATGGTGGAGTCTAACATCTCTGAGATGGGACAGGACAAGGCTGCTTCGTTTCTTATACCAGATCGCAGTACCTTGCCCTTCTTTCGTGTATTTCTAGGCCCTGGGCTCGCACTATGCATTTGGAAGGATCTGGAATTATGGATGGACTCCTAGGTCATGTAAAAAAATACACAGGAGAGAAATCACATTTTTCGGATGTCTGTCTGTGATGGAAATACACATGCCCAGACATGAGAGGACCCGAGTGTTACAATAATGGCAATAATGGTGAAAAGGAGCATGGGAACCCGGAAGGAACCACAGCTTTGACATTTTAACTCTTTAAAGAAAATTGTTATCTTCCAAACCATAGGGGGAAAAAACCCCTAATTTCTTTTTATCTTAAATGGGAAAAATTAAATCTATACACCTAAGTTCTTGATAATCTTAAAATTCAAAGCGTGGGACTAAAGCAAAAGGACGGGGCTCTTTTCACAACACAAGCGCAACAAGGCAGGAGACAAAGCAAAGCGGGCGGGAGCCACGGGGCAAGGTCTGCCATGAGACTATTCTTGGCTCTCTAGGAATCGAGTCGGTAGAGCTGCCTCTGTTTCTACTCACACTGCATGGCGCAAAAACAAACAACCCCACCAACTCAAATACATTATTTCTCTATTCTAAATCCAAAAGCTGTTTCTCCTATTTTAATTTCAAGGAAGGAAGGGAAGAAGGAAGGAAGGAAGGACAAAAGGATGTCTTATAGAGCCGCCATCTTCTCTTCCTCAGCAAGCTAAAGGTCTTCAGTGCGTGGAAGGTGTACCTTCAAAGCCACAGATTACAGTTATCGCAGGGGAGGTCACAACTGATGGGCTCGATCCGCAAAGGTTATAAACTCTATCAGTAACAGCCCACCTGTAAGCAAGGGGCTTTGTGCAAGGACTACTTTGTGAGCCTCAGTTGCCAGCAAAGAGAGCTGGGAGTTAGAGGAGAGGCAAGTTTTTGTTTCTGCAGTGCTGGAAACTGAGCCCAAAACCTTATTGTCTGGCTAAGCACCAAATTAAGCTACACCTGCAGCCCTGTGAGTCGTGATTGTTTCCCAGAGAGAGACAACCTAGAAATCCCAAGTTTGAAAACTGCAACAGGGTAGGAAAGGCAGGTCCTGAGGTCTTAGAAGTCTGGCATGCACTGGTACCTGGCACGTTACTGAAGGAGAAATGGAAAAGGAAGAAAACATAAGTGCTGTAAACATCCTGGAAGAGCGATAGTTAGCACACCGGGATGATGCAAATTAGGCGAGGAGGGGGCGTGGCTGGGAAGGACTCACAGGTGCAGGAAGGCCCCTTAGCGATGCTGCCATCTTAAGGAGGACACGGGAACTGCAGATTCTAAAATCAAAGAACTCCTGTTTCCCAGAGAGCTGCCCAGAGCGTGTCACACGTGTGCAAGACCACTGAGTATGATAGAAGTACAGTCTCCCTTTAAAAGCCCCTCATTAAAAACTCAATGTATTAAATTATACAGCCTATTGGGCTGAGAAAAGCCCTCAGCTGCTGTCCATGGTTGCCTGCCTGTTACCACCCCCTTCAGTTCACTAAGGTACCCATCTAGTTCAGTCCACCGGAGGGCTATCACTGCTGTCTGACTGCTGCTCCTGACCTATGAGAGCACCACAGGATTTCTGCTACTTTCCACTCAGAAAAAGAAAAAGATGTTCCTTTCTAAACACACAGAAACTCAAGAGGGTTCTTTACGATCTATACACCCTAAAGGACAAGGAGAGTCTGAGCTAAGGCAAGGTGTACCCTGTGTGTCGGCAGGGGCTTCCTGGGGTGTGCCAGCATCAGTGGGCGGGGCTTCACCGGCTGCCACCTGAAGCTTTTCCTCCAGCAGTGGTCTGGTGCTCTCTTCAGAGGCATCCTTCTCCTGAACAGGAACTGTCTCCGGATATCTCACTAGTTTTGGATCTTCCAAGGTCGTCTCCACGGCCTGGGCGCATCCTTCTGGCACCTGCTTCTCCAGGCTTTCTTTTCTGACCAGGGGAGAAGTGGTCTTCCATTCGGGCTCTGGCACTTTCAGTTCTGGATGTCTAGCTCCTGTCCCGGGGGCAGTGGCTGGCGGGTGTTCTGCGCTGGCCTCTCCTGTTTGCGTTGTGGGCATTGGCCCACGAGTGGGCTGTGTGGATACTCTGGTTCTCTTGTGGCCGGGTAAGATTCCTTCAGCTTCAGATGGCTTTGTGCTTTCCTTTCCAGTCTTGTCTGGTCTTGGTTTCCCCTGCTGGGGTTCTTCCTTCATGTTTTGCTCCAAAGTCTCACTGGACTGTGGCCTGGATGTCAGGGGCTTGGATCTGGTTTCTTTGCTGTCTTCTACAGGCTTGGTGAAGGTCCCTTTCTTCTTAGGCTGCAGGGACTTCTCTGGGTAGGTGACATCTGTGTGTGGCTTTTGGACCTTGGCCTTCTCTTTTGCAGAAACTTTGATTTTTGGGGCTCCATTCTTTAAGGGATGGGAGGCCTCTGGTTTAGAAAACTCTGCCTTGCCTTTGCTTGCCACTGGGGGACCAACGTCTGAGTCACGTTCCTCTCCATCAGAGTCTGAATCTGAGGAGCTGGATGAGGAAGATGAGGACGAATCTCCTGTCACTTTCTTCACATGCCGTCGAGCCTCTGAGTCAGAACCCCATGCTTGGGGTGGAGGCATAACTTTCTGAGGAAACGCTACCAAAGTCTTTCTTGACAAATGCTTCGGAAGCCCTTCATCTGTGAGCAGCTGGCTGCCACCAGGGTGTGGGCCCACGACAGCCCCACCTGCGCTCTCCACTGATGGGTGAGAACCGGGTGGAGGTGAGCTTTTGGACAGTGCCGCTGCTGTGGGCGTGGCTAGGAGCTTGCCCCTCTCCTCTGCCCCCACATCTGGGAAACGGTATAAAGAGGAACACTTGTTATTTAAGGAACAACTCAAAGCCATAGACATTGCATTGCGTACCAGTGTATTACGTTATAACGCTGTCCAGGTAACTGACACATAGTAGGTTCCAGGAACCTCTCCCCCAACGCCGGGGCAGCAGGAGTGGGCAGACCAGCCTGTGAGGAGCGGAACCTTCAGGGAGGAGCTTTCTCGCCAACAAGAGCGGCAAACTGACTCGTTTCTCACACACATTGCTTTCCAGAGGACAGGTATTCTTAAACGATCCCACTCAGATTTACAACAGGTAAACTCTAATGCAGACATTTTCTGTCCACTACAAAGGTTTTACAAATGCATGGTTTCCTGAGGCGCTAACACCACTCGAGTATCCGGTGCTTCTCTTATATTAACAAGTTCAGAGTTTGACCTTCTTGAACAAAACAGCAGAGGTCTAGACAAGAGTCTGCTTGGCACATCCCTGTGAGAAGTCAGTAGGAGGGAGGGAGTGTCGACAGCTTTTCAAGTAAAGCTGCCCTAAAAAGGAAGAAAAGTCCTCAAAAAAAAAAAAAAATCACACAGGTCACGTGGGGACTTCTTCAGCCAAGAAAACAAGTTTTTACAAAACCCGAAAGTCTAAAATAATTTAATACCACACATATCACTGGAAACAGATGTTAAACTGCACACACAAACAAGTGAAAAGAAAAAGCCCAACAGGATAAGTTCTTTTTTTTTTTTTTTTTCTTTCTGAGACAGGGTTTCTCTGTGTAGCCCTGGCTGTCCTGGAACTCACTCTGTAGACCAGGCTGGCCTCAAACTCAGAAATCTGCCTGCCTCTGCCTCCCAAGTGCCGGGATTAGAGGTGTGCGCCACCACTGCCCAGCGTACAGGATAAGTTCTAACAGAAAAATCTTACACTTCATGGTCATTTATAAAAGAGCAAAAAAAAAAAAAAAATCACATTAAAGCTAATTTCATTTAGTCTTCCCAGTTGCCAATTTTTCTAACTGTACGCATCAGAGGGAAAACACAAGACAAGTTGTTAAAATGGTAAATTACCCTCTGAGCATGAAGTGGAACCGAACACTCTCCAGATAAGCAGATGTACAGGGTCCTTAAGACAGGGCTAGCTACATATATTCTAAAAGTGCCTTCCTCCTCCTCCATGGTAGGATCAGGCCCCTCTATGGTAGAATCAGGCCCCTCTATGGTAGGATCAGGCCCCTCTATGGTAGGATCAGGCCCCTCTATGGTAGAATCAGGCCCCTCTATGGTAGGATCAGGCCCCTCTATGGTAGGATCAGGCCCCTCTATGGTAGGATTAGGCCTCTCTTACCCATCTTATCATGGTGGTACCCACACAAGGGGCCAAGAACCTATGACTACCTGGTAGAGTAGGAACCAAGGAAAGTGAAGTTTCTCAAACCAGAGAAAGAGTGACAGGCACTGTGAAGGGAAGTGACCAGAGCCAGAGCAGTGTGATAGCTGAAACCAGCCCTGGGCACCTAGAGTAGGAATGGACACGGTAACTCAGAACACACAGCTCCAGACCATTGCTCGGCAGAGAGGGGTGGCGTACACTTGTTCTCTCCATGACACAACGGCATAGCCCAGAATTCCCAGTTCCTAAGCCAGCTAGCCCATGGTGTACATCACTGGTAGTTTTCTGAGCCTGACTCTTACAAATAGGAGATGGCCTGAGGGTGGGGTATGGTTCAGTTGGCACTGTGCTAGCTCAGTACGCACAGGGCCCTCAGCTCCAACCCAGCACTGCATTCAAGCTGGTGTGGTGGTCCAGAGTATTCTGGAGGAGGTAGAGGCAGGAGGCTCTTAAGTTCAAGGTCACCCTCAGCTACACAGCAAGTCTGAAACTAGCCTGGGCTAATTGAGAAAAGACTCTATCTCAATTAAAATAAATAAATAAAGCTCTCAGGTGGCTACTTTGAATATCAAAATGATGAACTGACTCTTCCAAGATATGGTGAGGATTTGGGGTTTTGTTCTTGTTCTCGGGATTGGACCTAGGGCCTTGAGCATACTAGACAAACTACCAGTGAGTACTACCGTAGCCCTTGGGAACTTAGAAGGTTGTAAAGAGTTACAAAGTTACATTATTGGGACTGAGGTGTAGCTTAGTGATACAGCATGTGCTGAGTATATGCAAGGCCCTTGGTTCAACAGCTCCCCCCTCAACACACACACACACACACACACACACACACACACACACACACACACACACAGAGACAGAGAGAGACAGAGAGAGAGAGAATAAAAACATACAAACATACACTGTAGATTATTTACCTACCAAAACAGAAAGAACATTCCAGACAGGCAGACTGGCTTGACAAAGAGACTTCAGGGCATTTCGGAACGAGAAGGACTGCCCGTTCATCTCCTCATTGGTTACAGGAAGGATTCCAGGGAAAGGCTAACAGAGGAGCTATTTTTTTTTGCTTTTGATGGAGGGGGGTCAGTTCTATCCTGCCCTCATCTTTGAGCCTCAGTTGCCACCACTAACCGGCATCCACAGCAAGTCTAAATTCACCAGTGGTGTAGGTCACAGAAGGTGAACGTGGCCTCCGGGAAGCCCACTTGGTGTATGGACACAGGATGTTATATCTGCTCACGGCCCTTTAGCTACAGACTGGCTTTCCTTAACAAACAGCCTAACAGGACCCATGTCGCCTACCCCAGACTCCTGCCGTCTCCTCTCAGATCACAGAAGGGGACCACGGCAGCCTACACACAACCAAGTCTATGAATACTGTCTAATGGTGCCAACCTGTGACCACGCCATCTCCCCTCGAGAGACACAACTCGAATTTCTGAATCTCTGGCTGAAAATGGAGAACAGAGTCTTCAGGCTTTCAGTCAAAGAACCAAAGGCTGCTGTGCAGTTCAGTTCCCTGCATCCATGCTGGGTGGCTCACAGTAGACCCACCGCCCCCTTCTGTCCTTTATAGGCACTGCATTCATGTATGCATAGCCGCACAATGACACAGACACATATCCAAATAATAAATAAATAAAAAGTGTAGAAATGATAAAACAAATTAGCAATCCTAAATCTATTAGTGCCAATGGTTTTTAAAACTAACCCAGGAAACAAAGCACCCTCACAAACGGTATTTTAAACATGGCTGGAAGAGCGAGATCATTCAGATTTCATAGGCTTAGGATGACACATGTGTAAAGTTTAAAAAATAAAAAATAAATCAGGAGAATCTAGATCTACCCCCTCCCCCAACCCCAGAAGTAAGACAGTAATATTGAAATATAGACCATGGGCCAGAATGTCAAAGTTGAAAGCAAACCTCTCTCTCTTAGCTCCTCATTAGTAAGAGGTGAGGGGGGTAATGTGTAAGAAGTGTTCATACCCCGCCCCTTTCACCCCGTGGCTGTGGTTAATATATTTAACCTCCAGTTTTAGAAACTACACACTTTTAAACCTGGGCTGGAACCTAAATGGAGAACCAACTTTGGCTTTAGACTCTTTATAAGAGCTACACAAAAGCAAGGTGTGATGGCCCACACTTGTAATCCCCGACCCCCCCGGAGCACCCCAGAGGATCGGAGTTCAAGACCAACCTGTACTACAAGGCAGGATCTGGAAAAACTGGAAAAACAAAAAACAAAAGACCAAACTGACAGAATACAATGTGAAAATTGCTCAGCCAGTACCTTATAGGTCTGTACAATGTGCACTGGTGACGGGATTCAACAAACAGCAAAGAAAACCCAGGCCCATGTCTTCATGCAGGGCCTGCGGAAGCAACCTGTTACCGCTGTGTAGCAGCACTTTCCTCAGGAAGGAAGCTCGGGCTAAAAAATGGGAGCCTCCAGAGTAGGGCAGAAAATATTGCCCCCGAGGGTGGCCCTGACCCACTCACTCCCAGTGGCTGGGGACTAAGAGATGCAGATGCAGAGAGCCCCAGGGACTCCCAAAGCCACTCTCGCTGAGATGGTTTCTACTCCCTGGCACATCAAGGGAAAACACAGGCCCACATGTGGATAACTTAGGAAGCATGAGTTCTTCTTTTCTGTACAGAAATTATTTTTTTAAGACTTATTTCTTTACTTTATGTATACGTATACACTGTAGTTGTCGTCAGACACACACCAGAAGGAGGGCATCGGATCCCATTACAGATGGTTGTGAGCCACCAAGCAGTCACTGGGAATTGAACTCAGGACCTCTGGAAGAGTAGTCAGTGCTCTTAACCGCTGAGCCATCTCTCCAGCCCCAGAAATTATTTGAAATTAGAATATACAAGTGTAATATACACAGAAGACAATTTATTTCTGAAGAACATATTCCACTCTGAAGTACACTGCCATTTACAAAGTGGATGAGCCTGCTTGGCGATTGAGTGTGTGTGCACACACCTCAGCTTCTTCAAGCCCGTAGCACCCAGGGAGGTCACAAAGCTGCAGGCTCAGATAGCTGCGGAGAGCCAGGAACTTACTGGGACTCCAAGGTCAACTCCCAGGCCAGGTCTCCCTTCCCAAACCTTCCCAGGATGACATCACTTCTATCCACACAGACATCTGTTTTTATATAGAAGGCTTGTGGGTCCTAAAACTTACATAGTCTAAAATCATGTATCTAGAAAATAGGATTATGACATAACTTAAAAATCCACCAGAAAAGAGGACACAGTTAATATTGCCATCCTAGTTACTCACCAGTAAGCAGTCACAAGCAATCCAGGCTGTGCAAAGCCCTGGGTTCAATCCACAGCACGCAATAAAAAAGCCCAGGCTATATATGGCACACAACTTAACTGACACTCTTGTTGCAGGCATTTCTTAAGTATACTGGGATTATATGTTTTGATGTTGTTTTAAACAGCGTCTGTGTTTTAAGATTTCTTTTTTTTTAATTAAAGATTTATTTATTTATTTTATTTATGAGTACACTGTAGCTGTCTTCAGACACACCAGAAGAGGGCATCCAATCTCACTACAGATGGTTGTGAGCCACCATGTGGTTGCTGGGATTTGAACTCAGGACCCCTGGAAGAGCAGTCAGTGCTCTTAACCGCTGAGCCATCTCTCCAGCCCCTGTCTTAAGATTTCTGTCTTTCTTTCTTTCTTTCTTTTTTTTTTTTTTTTTCCGAGACAGGGTTTCTCTGTGTAGCCCTGCCTGTCCTGGAACTCACTCTATAGACCAGGCTGGCCTCGAACTCTTGAACTTAGAAATCCGCCTATCTCTGCCTCCCAAGTGCTGGGATTAAAGGCATGCGCCACCACCGCCCAGCATGATTTCTGTTTTTCAATGCATCCAAAAGAAGACGAGGACTGTATTTTAAAAATCAGGCAGGTATAGGCAGAACTGAATCACATCCCTCTGGAATTCAGGCCAGGATACCTTTACTATGGAACTGACAGAGGTGTGTGTGTAGAGCACTGTGGGCGGGTACTAACAGTGCGAGCATTTAACACTTACTGATGCTCAGTACCCAGGCAGGGAGAAAACAAAGGAATCTCTGTGGCTTCACACCCTCAAGCAGAGGGAATGCTATATTAGTGAAATTAAGACTAGATTCAATGACTACTCCCCAATCTCATGTTAGGACGGAAGATCTGCCAGGAGGCGGCTCTGCACACTTGTTCAAGGGTAGATCAGGGCTTCATGAATTAAGAAACTAAATTTGGGCTGGAGAGATGGCTCAGCGGTTAAGAGCACTGACTGCTCTTCCAGAGGTCCTGAGTTCCACTCCCAGCAACCACATGGTGGCTCACAACCATCTGAAATGGGATCTGATGCCCTCTGCTGGGTATCTGAGGACAGGGATCGTATACTCACATACATAAAATAAACAAATAAACAAATCTTAAAAAAAAAAAAAGAAAAAGAAAAAGAAACGAAATTCAATGGACCCCATACACAAATCATTAAAAAAAAAGGAGCAAGGCATAGGAAATACAATTATCCTCAGAAAAGCAGCATTTAAAATGCACCACAATTCAGCTTGCTGGGCGTGAGGCCATCCTACGCTGGCATTCAGAGAGGGGGAAAATGTAACAGAAATCAAAATGATTTTGAAGAGAGCTGGACACCAACTGGGCCCCAGCTGAGTGTAGCACAGCAGAAATTGGGGGCTCCTAACTCCTTCCCCGAGGTCATGATGCCCCCCTCAGATGGTGATGGGGCACACCAGGAAAAACTCAAGACCAGAGTCTTGGGGAGTCAGGAAAAGCCAGAAACCAGGGAAGGGGAGTAAGGTGGGTGTGTTCACACTAGGGTGTGTTCCTGAGGGCCTTGAAAATGCCAGAGCCCTTCTGCTCTCCCTGTTGGGTTGGTCTTTTAGGAAGCACTATTCCACATCTAGAGCTAACACAGAGTCAAGGCCTTTGCCACCACAGATGTGGTCCAATCCTCCATCTAATTATGAGCTGGAGTCTTAGGTTACGTGGCTGGGCCATCTCATTTCATGCTATTGACTTTGCACTGTTTGACCCCCACCCCTGGCCCCACCATCTTTAAAATCTCACCTTTGAGCACACTTTGTGTCGTGGGATGTGGTCCTGTCGCCTTTTTACTCTTCTCTGACTCAGTAGACAGGGGCACCGTAGACGCCAGTTCTCCTCGGAACACCCTTGCCTCCAGGAGCACAGCCTGGGGAAGAGTCGACAAAGAAAGATACTCGCCTTGATAACAGCCATTACAATGTGAGTGTTATATATATTAATATTCATGTGGCACATTTATTACAATCTTCGTAACATGGGAATTATGGATACTCTAAAAAGTACCCAAAAGCTGCAAGAAAAATATACCCTGGTTCCAGGAAAATCACTGTTAGCATCTGGGTAAATGCAAACATCCTTATTTCCTTAATCTCTGCAGTAATTTCCCAAAATAGACACTTGGAAAGTTTTTATTAAAAATAAAAACTGGCCGGGCAGTGGTGGTGCACGTCTTTAATCCCAGCACTTGGGAGGCAGAGACAGGCGGATTTCTGAGTTCGAGGCCAGACTGGTCTACAGAGTGAGTTCCAGGATAGCCAGAACTACACAGAGATACCCTGTCTCATAAAACAAAAAACAAAACAAAACAAAAACAAAAACCTTTGTCAGCTTCGTTATACAAAGCTTCGGGATATCTTGGAGAAGAAGAGCCTGGTCCTGTGTTCTGCAGAAACCTGGGGCACAGAGGGTAGGAGGTGGATGGGAGACAGATGGCTGCTGAGAAAAGCTCTTGCTGTCACATGTCCTGCAAAGCCTCAGTTAGGCAGACCTGTGTTAGTATGGGGAAGGGAGAAGGGAGGAGGGAAGTGCTGGCCTCTGGACGTCAGCCATCACCTAGATGGCCACTGCAACCCTCACGCCTGGATCCTGGATGCAAGGCCCAGTTGGTTCTCAGCCCAAGACTCCTAAGTCTTTGATAGGGTAGCCAGTTTACTGATTATTTCGTTACTGTACAAAATACTATGTTTCTTTTTGCAAAATTATCTCCCTACACTTAGTAAAGTTGCAGAAACACTATCTAGTAGTAAATACGATGTAGATAACTGCTTCAGAAGTGTTACAATGTTGGAAGAATCTTACTGTAATTCTGCCGGCAACCGCTAAGGTATGTGCTACATCCTAGGATAAAGAACCGGAAAACCATACTGATGAGTCTCCGCATGTGTACAAATTATGTGGACCGATACACGCTGAAAAAAAAAATCACTGGGAGCAAGATAACTGAAGGAGTAACTAAACAGCGCCGATCTGACGACGGGGGCTATCTGTCACCTGTATTTTGTTTTGCTGTGAGCATTTCCTGCTTTGGGGCCGGTTCAATGACAGCTCTTGACAAGCAAGCGCAGGGCTCTAGGTTCCATCCACCGAATCCAACCCAAACAAACCCCAACACTGGTTTTGCAGAGAAAGCCAAGTTTCGTTTATAAAACAGCCAAGGAGTCTCGGCTTCACTCCTGCAGAGAAAACCCTTCTCTCCAGGTCGGGTGAGCACAGGCCCTGGGGACTCCTCACTGCACCGAGCCCACGGGTGCAGCTAAGGGTTAGGCTATGGGCCGGGTAGGTCTCGCCCGATCGCCCTTTACCTTCAGCGCCCGGACTCGTCCTCCCCGCAGCAGGAGAGAGAACGCCATGGCACAGACGCCAATCGCGGAGGTCACACCTAGGTACGTGACCTGCGCGTGCACACGCGCCACCCGAGGCTCGGCCCCACGTCCACGTTCGCCAATCGCACACCAGGGTGGGCCCAAGCGTTTGCGCGCGCATTCTGGGCGGGCTCCCCAGAGGCCACGCCCCCGACTGAGTCCACCAATCCCGGGTGGGAACACACGGGGTCCGCCCCTGGGCTGGTTCTGTTGGAAGTCCCTCCCCTCCGATTGGGGCCTGTCCGCCTTGCCCTGATCTCACCCTTAACTCTGGTCAGCAACCTACCAACACTACGCAGCTAGAACCATGTCCTTTGCGTTTCTAAGAGTCTTCTGTGTTTGGTGAGATCTTTGTGAGTTTGTTGTTTCTTGGAGATACAACTCGGTGGTAGTGCACTTGCCCAGAAGGGGGCGTGGCTTTGAAAAAGTCAGAAGCTGGGTGTGATCATACTAGCAGAAGGGCTAGCTCAAAGACAGCCTGTGCTTTACAAATCAACTGTAAGGATTATAATCAGTAGATAAACTCATCAGTGAAAGCACACACATACACACATCCAACCTCACACAGTTTGAGACCAAGCCTTCAACACACGAGGCTTTTCAGAGAACCTTCATATCCAAGGCATAGAATACTCCAAGGCTATGTAGTATGTGTTATTGGTTATCAAATCTTCCTCCCAGTGATTGATTGGTGCCCCCTGCCACATGTTTCCCAGGGCACAGTAAGTATTTCACGCAGATGGATATGTCTACACTTCCAATCTCCACTAAGGAAAATTCAATGTCAGTGAAAGGGTTCAGGATGCTGAAATGAATTATTGGGGAGAAAAATTTAATAGAGCATTAATGCTGGGTACAAGCAGGCAGGGGGACAACAGCATGGCAGGAGCTCCGAGGAGCGATCAGGCCCCAGAGACAGAGCCCAGGTCTCTGAAGACTGGAGCCAGCCCACGTGGGAGCATCCTATAGCTCTGAGGATTGGAGAGGTTTCTGTGACATGACATTGCTATGGATACTGTGGGCTGAGAAGAAGCTAGATTCTAACGGTACAGCTTTACAAAACCCCTTGAGGTTGACTGGAAATGGAGGAGGGGGGCCTCTGAATAACAGACATCTGGAAACTCACTCTGGTGGCCAGATAAACTGGCATCGTCGAGAGCTCCTTGCCCTTGGCAGAGCTCAGGAAGGCAGAAAGAACAGGTGCAGTCTAGACAACAGTGAGAACACAGTCCATTGTCTCTAAAGGAAGAAGACACAAACAGCATGCTAACAGAATTGTCCTTCTTCACCTAATCTTGTCTCCAGGGGACACTTGCTTGCTTTACAGGTGAGTAAATAGTACTGAAGGGAACAGGTACTTCCTGTCCTTTTCCTTTGTGGGACCAGAGTTGGAGCTGCAGGATCATGGGACTCCAAACCTCCATTTCTCACAGCTGACCAGTTTAGACATTAGAGGAACTGGGAGATGGAAGAACGAACGCAAGGGAAAGACTCCTCAGTGGGAGAGCTGTATGCATTTGTCCCTCCGAGGGCTCATGAGTTGGAAGCTCTTGCTCTCCAGGGTAGTGATGAGGAACTAGAAGCAGAAAGAGGTGGGCCCATGAGAAGTAATTAATCATCATGGGTGCAGCTCTGGGAAGGGACTCTGAAGGAAGTTCCTTCTTTTTAATGTTCGTGTGGGAACCTGGTAACTCTCATAAGAAAGGTGTGATGTTTTGGGGGTAATTGGCTTGGTTGACTTTGGAGGGTTTTTTTTTTTTAAGATGAAGTCTCCCTATGTAGCCTAGGCTGCCCTTAAACTTACTTTTCTCATGAATCTGCCCTTCCCTTCTTCCTTGTTTGTTTCTTTATTTGTTTTTTTGTTTCTTTCTTTTTTTTAAGATTTTTTTTTAATGTATATGAGTACACTGTCGCTGTCTTCAGACACACCAGAAGAGGACACTGATCCCATTACAGATGGTTGTGAGCCGCCATGTGGTTGCTGGGAATTGAACTCAGGACCTCTGGAAGAGCAGCCAGTGCTCTTAACCGCTGAGCCATCTCTCCAGCCTGTGTTTATTTATTTTTAAGACAGGGTCTCACCATGCAACTCTGGCTATCCTAGAACTCACTATGTAGATCAGGCTGGCTTTGAACTCACGGAGACCTGCCTGCCTCTGCCCTTCATGTGCACCACACCTGGTTATGATTTATTTATTTTTATTTTATGTGTATGGGTACATTGCCTGAACGCATGACTGCACATCGTGTGTATGCAGTACCTGCCAAGTTCAAAAGAGGGCGACAGATCTCCTGAAACTGGAGTCTTAGTTGTGAGCTGCCACCTGCGTCCTGAAAATTGTCCTTGAGTTCTCTGAGAGGGCAGGTAATGTTCTTAACCCCTGTGTTATCTTTCTAACCTTCAAGATTGAATTTTAATGTGCATTTTAGTAGAGACGTTTAAACAGAGCACACACCATGATAGAAATGCTGAAGAGATTCACCACAGCAGGAAGCCACCATCTCCTTTGTGGTGGAGGTTAGGTGGTACCATAAAGACAATGTGGGAAACAGGGACCACCGTGGGGTTGGCCACAGTGGCAGGAGCTGTTGAGGAGAACACGTTGTCAGTGGATTTGTATCTCTCCCTGGACATTCTGGCACACAGCTGACCTGAAGCCCCAGGAGCAGCCTGCAGCGGCCCCTCCCTCTACAAGGGCAGATGACCACATGCTGGGATAGCTAGCTTGTCCCATGAGGTAGTGAGAAATAAGATATGAGAATTCATGACAGAATTTGGAAGAAATGCTGGGTGCAAGAGCAATTTACAAAAACAGAAACTGCATCTCTGTGGACAACAGGAACAATTATGAAACATAGTTTTAAAAGATCTCATGATGCTAGCAGAACCCCATATATCACGGTGAGGATATTTTTAAATATGCTGTCTATGTCCTTAAAGGATAATGTAAGGTAATACTGAGCTAAGGGCAAGCCATTAGAGGTAGAGCCAAGGTGGCCTTGGGTACAGTGTAAACATGCTAATTTTATTCCAAACAGTCTAATACATTCAATTATTTCCTAATTAGTATCCCAGCACAGGCCCCGGGGGAATTGGACAATTGAATTGTAACAATTATGTGAAGGTGGGAGGAGAAGGAACCTGAGGAGTTAGTGATGAGGGAGGAGAGAAAGAGGAGGGTTGGGGGAAAAAGGAAGGAGGTGGTGACGCAGGCAAAGTATAAATCCTAAAACTGAACCTGCTGCCAGAGGGATTATTTCTTGCAGGCCTTGTCTCAGGGGGCTGATGATTTGAGAGCAGCACATAACAGGATCCAGGGAGGAAGCCGTAGCTAATTTGATGGTTTAGAGTTTGTTTGTTTGTTTGGTTTTTCTTCGGAGTCAAGGTTTTTCTGTGTAGTCCTGGCTGTCCTGAAACCCAGAGATAAGCCTGCTTCTTCCTCCAGTGTGCTGGAATTAAAAGCTATGTGCCACCACCGCCCAGCTGGTTTTGATATATGTTTTAAATTTATTTTTATGTTTAAATTGTGTGTGTGCACGTGTCTGTGTTAATTCATGCATGTGAATTCATGCTCATGGAAGGCAGAAGAGGGCATCAGATGCTCTGCAAGAGGACTTAGAGGAAGCCGTGAGGCTGTGGGCTTCCTGTTGTGGATGCAGGTGTTCTGGAAGTGCAGTGCACACTCTGGACTGTTGAGCCATCCCTCTACAGTCTTTCTTTCTCTCTCTCTCTCTCTCTGTCTTTCTGTTTTTCTTTCTTTCTTTCTCCTCCTTTTCTTCCTTTTCCTTCCTGTCTCCTCCTTCGCCTCTTTCTTTTTTCTTGAGGCAGGGTCTCACTATGTAGCCTTGACTAGCCTGGAATTTGAAATGTAGACCAGGCTGGCCTTGAATTTGGAGCCACCCAGCCTGGCTCTTCTATTTGTAATAATTTTATTGAGAATGTCACACATGCCTATGACTTGTTTTTGATAAAGTCCACCCTCCATTACTTCCCTGTCCTCACCAACACCATTCCTTCCCAATTGTGTGCAGGGTATGTGTATATGTGTGTTTGTGTGTGTGCATTTATGTATGTGTGTCTATGTGTATGTGTGCGTTTATGTGTGTATGTGTGTGCTTATGTGTATGTGTGTTTATGTATGTATTTATGTTTGTGTTTATGTGTGTGTGTTCATGTATGTATTTATGTGTTTGTGTTTATGTGTGTGTGTTTATGT